ATGATATAAAGGTGGAATTGAGTGCACCTTCAGCATGTTTGCTGTTGACACCAAGCTGAATGATGCAATTAATGTGGCAGAAGGAAAGGATGCAATCTAGAGGGACCTTGATAAGCTTGAAGGGTGAGACCATGTGAACATAATGAGGTTCAACAAAGCATAGTACAAGGCTTTGCCCTTGAATCAGAGTAATCCCAGGTATGCTCAAAGACCAGGATAAAAGCTCCTTGAGAATAGCACTACTGAGAAGAACTCAGGGGTCCCGGTAGATGAAAAACCTAACATGACCAAGCAGCATGCTGTTGCAGCCTGAAAGGTATCCTGGGCTACATCAGAAGAGGGGTGGCCAATATGGCAAAGAAGTCAATTGTTTCTTTCCACTCTGCCCTCATGAGGTCCCACTTGGTGTGTTGTGTCCAGGTCTGTCTCGAAACAGACTGAAGGAGCTGAACACTGCAAGAAGACTTCACAACTGCCTTCCAGTATTTAAAGGAAGTTTATAAACACAAGGGGAATCAACTTTCAGATGGATAGATAGCAACAGGACAAGGGGGAATGGATTTAAACTAAAGAATGGAAGATGTAGATAAGATATCAGAACAATTCACTGAGAAAGTGGTGAGGTGCTGGAAAATGCTACCCAGAGAAGTTGTGGATGTTCTTTCCCTGGAAGTGTTCAAAACCAGATTGGATGGGGCCCTGGGAAACTTGATCTAGTATTTGATCTAGTGGTTGGTGACCCTGCCTGTGGCACAGGGATTGGACTTTGATGATCCTTGATGTCTCTGCCAACCCAAGCCATTCTTTGATTTTGTGACTCTATTACTCTATGATTCTATGATGAACATGGTGTTACAATGCTATTGCACTGTACGATCAAAACAAATAACATGATCACAGAACAAGGGAGGCACAATAAATATGCAGACAAGTGGAGTTAAAGAAGGCAATATACTTCACATAGTTATGGATGGAAAATGAAATGCTCTGTAGCTGGCCTAGCAGTTTTCACCTGACTTATACAGCTGACATATAGCTATTTCTTTATGTTCTTACCAATGGATAATTCATGGCAGGTCTCTTGAATAATTTATTTTGAGAGATTTTTAATACCCTTTATCATTTTTTTCTTTCCTAAAACTGTATTTAAAAATATTAAGCATTCATTAGAAGAAGATAGAAAGTTCTAAAAAATCCTTATCTTCCACAGCTTCAAAGTAAGGTTCTGTTGAAGAAACAAAGGTATATGAATGCCAAAAATACTTTCCCCTTAGAGTATTCACTTGCGAGATTACTTCCATGTAATTTTTTACTCAGCACACAAGATTGGAAACATTTTTGATTCCTTTCAGCTATGCTGAGGCCAATCCAGATGTTGAGTACAGTATTTTTATTTTTGATTTCTATTCACTCATCACCAAGCATCAGCCAAAATCTGCCTCTCTGCTTGTGCAGTCTTTTTCATTAGTGGAGGGGAATATGTAAAATGTTTACAGCTGAAACACACAGTAAGAAAATATAGCCAATTTATGAGAGAATATTTCATAAAACTACTTATTAAATATTGCCAGCAAGGCACCAAGTATAATTACACCCAGTTGTCTTTCATTCCTCTTTGCAAATATGACATTTTCTCATTCCTGTTTTCATATCTGATGTTTTTTGTCATCATCACAAGCACTGAAAAGAGACAAAGCTCATATTCTCTTCAAATAAAAAAGTAAATGTTCAATTTGACTGAGAATTTGTAAATTTGGAGTAATATCTAATTGATTTCCAATCAATTTCTAATTAAAATATATTCTCCTTGAATTGATTTTTTTTCTCCTCTAGAAACTATTCTAAACATGAAGGAGAATTATAGGAAAAAGGCAGGAAAAGAGGGAAAGAGCTATTTTGGCTTTCTAAAATACATTTACATACAAGGAACAGCAACAAATACCACCAGCTGAGACTTAAGGACTTGAACAAAACCACCCCAATACACAGACAGAAGCCTGCAAACTAAGAGAGAAGAAAATTTAGCTTTCTGAGAAAAAAATATTTTAAGAAAGTAAGAAAAGTATATGCTATGGTGGGGAATGTTTTTAAAAGCCTCTTTCAAACCCTCTTGGCAAGTAAAGCTTTGTTTGGTTTGGTTAAAAGCACTGTGGCTTATGCCTTTGGCATTCAAATTTACATGCTAATAAAAGTGTGCTTATAAACTTGAATAACCACACTCCACAGTCCCAAACACTGCACCTCTGAATCTAAAAGCTGCTACTGCCAACATATGCATATTGTCCAGATCTCTCCATCTGCAGTCAATTATTTTTCTATGACCAAAAAATTCCAGTCCTTTACTGCATACTCCCAATTATTAAAATGCATTTTTGCTTTCTGAAAATCACATTTTTTTTATCATCTTCCAATTCCATACCAAATGCATTCAGTTTAATTACAGCTTTTCCACCAATTTGCAAAGCTTTGCAAATCCTCCCTGGATTGTGAGAGTGAAGCTGAATATCTTTAATTTCACTGAACATCCTCAACAAAGAGAGATGCAGAGCAAGGTAGCTCATCATTTATACCTGTGTAGCCTCATTGGCTTTAAATTATACTTTCTGCTACTCAAGTATAAATCAGATTTCAGTACCATTATTGGTGCAGTTGATCAGAACATATTAAACAGTGGTGACAATACACAAGAACAAATAAGTTCATTTCCTCTCTCTTCCTCACATCACACTGAAGAACAAGAATTGTTAAATAAAAAACTGTTATATTGCTAAGCTCTTTTCACAGTCTGTATATATTTTAAAAGGCTACCTATTATGCCTTATGATGTGTTGCCCCTGCTGAAAGTAAAAATTTTTATTTTCTCTAATGCTGCACCTTATGTAGTCTGGAAATCCCTGATGGACACAGGAAAATAAAAGATAGAAGTTGTCTATTTAGCCAACACAGAGAAATAATATTGATTAGGACATGCCTATTTGTGATTCCTCTAGACAGCCTGAGGTCTTCTGAATGATAAAAGCATTTATACAGTGTCAGAAGCTAATGCCCAAGGTCTTTCAAAACTCATGCTATGGTTGTTATATGCAGATATGCAGAGAAATAAACAGAGAGGGAAAGTGAAGAAAATTCTGATAAACTTCAGATAACATTCTTCATATCACTGAGAATTTGTTTTCAAGTTTAAGTTTCATCAGGAGAGCTCATAAATGTCTTTCTATATGAATTTCGACTGAAGAGATTGAATATCTGAATAGTTTTATTCTCTGGTAGACCTGTAGATTACAGTAAGTCTGCTAGGACTCAGAACTGGTTTCACCAGTTTTCAGCTAATGTAGAAAAAAGAAGAAAATGCAACCACAAAATAGAGACAAAACAACATCCTGAAGAGAGCTTGTGATCGAAGGAGAACACTTCTGACAAGAATCAGTGGGCGGTGGCATAAGCTACAGGACTTCCATGAGACTTTTACACATGCCTGGATACTGGGCATAAAGAGGCAGTTAATGAATTAACACCAGTTTAAAAACAAAAACAAAAACAAAAAACAAAAAACAAAAACAAAAAAAGAATCAGGCTCAATGCATTGGAGGATTCTGGCATTTTTACAGCATTTACTACTAATCCTGTAGTTCATTTGATTCTAAGAGACAGTAAGTGGCATTATCATAAACGTTAGTTGCATTACTGTTGCAACTTTCACACCCTAATCTTAAGGAAAGCAGAGCTGTTTAGATGTTGGGAAAGAGATAAAATGTTTTATCCTGATGTTACAGACATAAGATCACTTGTAGCATCCCACTATCATGAAAGGGAAAAGAAGCATTAAACTCTCTGAGCTGCTCTCCTAAGATTTAGTAAATTGCTAGATTCATATGTTTAAGCAGGAGGATAAGAAGAGCACGGCTGTTAACTAAACTGCCCCAGTGCTTTGAAGTGGCAAGGCAGCCTGCATGAATGGGATTGTTTGAGGGAACTACAAGAAATTGCACAACGTTGTAATGGGTTATCAAGGGTTTATCTTCATGTGAGCAAGTGAAGCACTCTGAAAATTGCTGATTAAATCCGACTACCATGCCATCTTGGATCATACTATATGTACTCTACTATATGTAGAGTGTTCTACAGAAGAAAAGAGAGTTCAGAAAAATCTTTGACTCCTTTAAAGTTTAGTGGAGTTTCACTCACTTATCATTTTTCCTCTGAGGGGAAAAAAAAAAAAACGACAAAAGTACTGAGAATGCCTCTGAAGTCCATAAAATCAAGAAAGACTTCAGAGAAAGTGGGAAAATTCCTACAGTGTGACAAACATTAGAGCAGAACAATGTTTCTGAAAGCACTCATGAAACTCTTACCTGGACCTACAGTATTGAAGACAGAACATGAAAGACTAATGACAATTGTACCTTCACACCGATGACACTGTTGCAGCTCCTAGCTCTTTTGCAGGACCAGCACTAAGGATAATATACTCCAGATATACAAAGGGGAAAAAAAAAAAGAGAGAAGAAATAAAGAATTTGTGGGGAAAACTGATAATCTAATCTTTTTTTTTTTTTTTTTTTTTCTTTTACTTCCTTTACAATTCAGGTAAATTCAACTTTAAATTCAACTTTAAAAGCATAATGCCAGTGGCAGTCACTAGGAGGAACAGCACTAGCTAGCTTCATTAATTTTCAATAATTTTAAGTAAAGCAAAACTAGGGCTTGTAAAGCTGCTAAGGATATGTTCTTCACTCAGTCTCTTTGGAGTATCTTAAGTATTGGTTTTAAGTTAACGTTTTTGACATTTACCAAACATCCTGTTAAAGCTTCTTAAGATTAGGCAGTTCGTGTTACAATCAACTTTGTTTGAAAGAAAATAAAATTGTTATTTGAACACCAACCTTTGCCCTGAGGCACATCTGCTGAGGAAGAGACAAAAACAGGTTACATCATCTTGTTAGCTTAAGAAGAGGCCCACAAAATACATATTAAAAACAGAATCTTAAGAAATCACACATTTTATTTTTATTATTCCAGGAATACTGAGTTGGCATGCTTGTCCTTGAACATATAGTGCCAAAATTAATACAATTATGCACAAGAGCCTAGTTTTATACAAAGTACAGTTTATATTTTTGAAATACTAATTCTCTATACATGCAGAAGCGCTTTCACCATGGAAGAGTTTCAGCTTGCCTCACAAATGAATTTACTAAATAATCCTACAGAAGAACAAGAACAATTCCCACCTGCATTATGTATTGTAAGCTTTGAAAAGAATGTAACGTTGTTCTGTCACTTTCACCCACCAAGAGACAGAATTGGGAAGGCAGACCAAGTCTTAGGGATTCTTCCCAGACTAACAGAATCTCAGAATGGCTGAGGTTAAAGCAACCTATGGAGGCCATCTTGTCAAACCCCTCTCAGGCAATACCACCCAGAGCATGGTTGCTCAGAACTATCCTATTATCGGGCCCATTACTGAAATAATGAACAAACCACTGAATGCTTGTATTCAGATACATGCCAATAGCTTGCTGAAGTGAAGTTCCAGTTACTAAGTCCCAGTCACCACATCACTGCTCTTGCTTTTTCCCTTCCAGCTTGATTTAGTTACAGCAAAGCTTCTGCCTTCACAGAAGAATCAGTGGAGGCTGTAGAGAACCTTCGATCAACAAACCCATATCCGCCATTCACATCTATTGCAGTGCCACTACCAGTCAGTGGCCAAAGTGATCCAAGTGAGACTGCACCTCCTTGCTAGCTGTTGCAGAAATACTAGGGTGCAGCCCTCCAGACTTTCACTCTGAAAAACACTCCTTCTTGACCCTCCAGCCAGGAGTTCACACACTCGTTGTTTCATCTGTCACCTGAGCTTGGAAAGCATGATCCTAAAGAAGTCAGTGAGCAAGATGAAAGGGAAAGCATGGTCACTCATCTTGAAAAAACTCATTTCCCTTCACAAATTCATCTTTCGCAGTTCATCCATCTTCCTGCCACCTCCCATTTTGAAGTGAGGTGCATCTCTTTTCTTTTTCTTCCTACCCTTACAGTCAGACTGGCTGACTCTTTCATTCCCTCTTTTCAAATCTAACACAGTATTGTACCCAGGGAGCATTTCATCGAGGGAGAAAAACACACTACATTGTACTACAGGCATAGTAGCACACTTGTCAGTTCACCTCCTGTGAAGTAAGATTACTTTCCTCTTGGACAGATTTTAGCTTTGGAGAAAGTTTGCAGGAGGCACAAAAATACTTGGTGAGATTTCCAATGAAAAAGGCTTACTCAGACCTGGCTGGATTATGTGAATTGCCAGAGGGAGTTCTGGTGACACTGACACTGTCTTAAAAGTGAAAAAGCCTTGTTTTTTTTTAATTTGCCACTTCATATGATTTAATACATAAGATACCCCAGGGAAAGAGTATCTTTCTATCTTCAGATACCCATAGAGAACTGACAGTACCCACTTTCCAAAGTTTTCAAACTTCAGAATTTCAATGCCATATTTTATTTCTGTGAAATCTTTACTCTTTTCATTTGTACAAGTATAAGTGTTCCAATAAAATTCTGGCAATGCAATGTTTCACAAGAGCCTTTTAGAACAGTTGAATTATAAAGTGTTACACAATGGACATTTCTCCTATTCAAATGGTATAACAGCAAAATCAGTCCCAGGAGGAAAAGTGTATTGCAGACACCAGCTTTTAAAGTGGGTTTAATATTTGAGTGTCCACTTGACATCTGATCTCTTGTGAATTAAGTGAAAGAGGTGGTTCTTTAGTGTAGATTCTCTTTCCATGTCTGTCTCTTTCTTTTTTCCGTCATGATAGACTATTGCCAAGTAATGATCATTACACATGTAACCATAATCATTACACACAGCATAGAGCTTAAAATCTGAAAAAAAATCACGTGCTGACATTCTCAGAAATTGTTCATATAGGATAAACAGACAAATCCAAAATACTGGAAAAGAAGACACCCCCACATCATTCGGCTTCTAGTCACACTGTTGGCCTAATTGTCCCTTCATTCTTAGCCAGTGAACAGTGAATGGGTGAAGTGCAGAATCCAGCTCTCTTGTTTATCTGACTGATGCAAGATCTAGAGCTCCGCTGAGCATTTCAACTCAGAGTGAAGAGATTATTTTAAGTTTACTGTACTCCAATATACGTCACTAATACTTGTGCAAAATCAAGCCTTTCATAAATTCAGGTACTTGGAAATACACACTTCAAGACTTGGCAGGATCTGCCAGAATACCTCTCTGCAACATTAGGCTCCAAAATACAATGTGAAACCCTGACCCTCAATCCTGGAAGCCAGATATTGAGTCAAATCAGGTAGCTTATCTAGATAGCTTCGCAAATTATTCTGGAAGGAATATTTTATGAGAAAACAATTGTTTAAGACTGCCATAATCTTACACTCTCATTCTCAAGATGTCTGGTTCAGGATTTCACTCAAGATGGATTCTCTTTCAATTCAGTTTATTTTTCTTTTGAATTATATCACATGTATTACAGCATGAATCAGAAGTCAGGAAACTTGAAAAAAATTGCTGAGAAAGTATTAAATTAAGAAATTGCATCCACAAAACGTGCTGTAAATTTAAAATAGAATGTTTAAATAAAGTATGGTATTCAGTATTACCTAAATTCTAATCATACTTGATAGAGATACAACCTTGCTGATACATGATGCCTATTTAACGACTTCTGATATATGAATGTTGTGCCTAAGTCTGTTTCTTAGAGCTTATATGTACATGTTGCACAGCATAACTATGACAATAACCATGACTTAATACCTTGGTTGACTGTATATCTGCACAGCCAGCCAACTGAATTACAGTTCAGAAATACTGTAACTAACCTTAAATAAAAAGCAGAGCAAATCAGGCTTTGTGGATTTCCAATCTGCCACTGCAAGGTACCTTCCAGTACTGAACAAGGTTATATTAAGCTGCCTTGGATACTTCTATTTTATCTCCAACCTTCGATGTAAACAGAGAAGATGGCAACTTAAAGCCACAAAGAGTGACCCTGAATATGCTCAGAAATAATCCTGAGAAACCAGAGCTCTGGTAATGGTAGGAAAATAGGTTTTGGTAGAGCTTTCCTTCCTGGAAGCTTTTCAGGAGCACATCACCCATGCACATAGACTTTTGCCTTCATCTAAGACTAGATCCTTTTACTCTAAATATGGAGATGTCAGTATTCTGTAGTGTAAGACACATTTCTTTTACAGTAAAATTACTGTAATTCAGTAGCCTCTCAGTCTGATTCTTCAAAACTGTCAAACATAGGTGTTTATATGACTCAGTTCATGCTGCTCATTCAGTAGACAAATATATATACCATCCAGATGAGACTATTATACCAGAGATTGCAATCTAAGCAAGTCACTATAATTTCAGATATTCTTTTGGCTTCCTGCATGATGGAGCAGTTGGCATTACCTGGATTTTTGGCAAGTCATACAGTTTTCAACTTATTTCATCCTGAACTTACATGGTGATGGACAGTCAGCCTGTAAGCTTAGGAAGAAGAGGATCTTGTTTGCTTAGTCTGAATCTCTTGGGTATGCTCACTGCTGTTCTAATGTAAATGTTTATGAGGGATGCAATAAAATATTAAACTAAATGAATAATTGATGTTTACTTTATAGTAATTCAGATCCTTGCTTGTTTGAATAAAATCCATTATTTACAATATTCTACTTAACTAGGAGTGATTTCTCTTTGTTCATGCCACTTACTAATTACTTGTCCCATCTGACACGTTTTCCAGGGACATATTGAGATGGTTATTGCATGTCAGTGTTTAAGGGCTTACTATTCATTTTCCAGATACTCTATAACACCAAAAGATGTTTGCAAATTTATTTCTTGCTTGGTAGGTTATGTTTACCTCTCAAATATTTTTGACATGACCACCACTTTAAAGATATAAGTATATTAATTAAAGAAGAATGATGGGAAAAGATCCACAAAACACTTCAAAATAACATACAGCTTGAACTCAGTACATTGTTTTTATACTCATAATATACATTATTCATGAATATTAAAATGTAATTTCAAAAAAATGTACAAAAACCTTTAAAATTTTATACCCAAAGTACATGATACAGGAAAAAAATCTTCATTTGCAGAAAGGCTTCAGTCATGCAATTGGAAAGCGAAAACTGTATCTCATGATTAATGATCAAATCTTGAATGCAGTAGCTAAAAGTGACAGTCTACAAACAGCACATAGCTTGAAAATTATCCATCCAAAATATCCAGAGCAAATTCAGAAATTCAAAATGCAGGTAATACAGACAATTCAGTTCTGTTCCAATTAATTATGCAATCAGTTCAATTAGTACGGTCCAGTCTCACACAGCAATTCATGTTATATAACAACTCTTAAATCTTAAATTATCACTAAGCACAATGTGCACTGATGTTTTGTACATACTTAGGCAATTAAGCAAAGAAGGAATTCCATTTCCCTGCTCAGCACAGGCGTGCCCCATGGATCAACACCCACAAGTTATCTCTTAAAACCAGGGTGTGAGAAACACTAGGAAAAAAAAAGAGAAACACTGAATGTGAGACTCCATTAGAAATTCCACCATTAAATTATGTTGTAAATCTACCACACAAAATAAAGCTTGATGTTATATACTGTCATAATAAACATGACACAATTCAAACAAAATAATTTTTTGCAAATAAAGTGCCAAATGTCTCCTACTTAATATGTAATATTGAAAAATTAAAATGTGAGGTGAAGTAGAATAAATGCAAGCTGCATATATTTAATCTTTTCAAGAATTTACAAGATGGGGTCCTAGCTATCATGAGGGCAACCTGCTTGCTAATTCTTAATGTGAATAATTGGATTTACATTGGCAAAATATCAGCCAACTTCTCTGGCTGATGCTTTGCAGTTAAGCAAGTGGAACTTGTATGATTTTGTAGTGTTATGCCAGTAAAATCAGTCTGGAAGTCTAAAGTGCCAGATTGCAATTTATAAAGTGACTTCACTCCTGTGTGACCTCTGAAATTTTGCATGAAGTTACTGGAGAGATGGTATGCATGAGAAACCGTGGACTGAGTTTAAGGAAAAAGTCATTGACTATTTCATAAATGACCTACAAGAAGACCTCAGAACTGAATCCAGCTTCCCTTGAAGTTGGTCTGAATACAAAAATAGTTAGAAATATACTGCCACTGAGGAAATTTTTTGTTTCACTATTCACTATTTCACTATTGTTTTCAGCTTTTCAACTACTACATTTGAGGTTTGGTCCAGGCCAAACCTGGATGCATGTGTTGGTTTTTCTTACCACGTTCAGTGTATTTTTATATATGGGATTTTAATATATATGCTAAGTAAAATTGTATTTATTTTCTGTCTAATGTTTTGCCAAAGAAAATGTTATTGATAACAACTACATCCTTTTTGCCTCTAGAGGACCTAACAAATAATGCCCTTATCTAACATACTTCAGGATAGAATATCAGCGCTCTGTGATATGAGTGTAAATAATGCTTTAGTTAGTTAAAGTGTGATCACTTTGCTAGGTTTATAAAATTATCACTGTGAAAACGAGGCCTATCTTTTTTTAAAGAGACATTGTACATATTGTACAGTGACAGAAAACTGAACAGTGAAAAAATGTAATCAGATAAGCAAAATAATACTGGTCATAAGAAACTCCTTATTTCCAGCCCTTCATTCCAGTCTTCTGTATTTTCCATACAGAGAGAGAAACTTTAAGATACGACTAATGGGACTTTAGACATCTATGACTAAAATGAAGTTCAAATTTAAGCTTGTCATCTAGAATCTTTTACTATCCATTGAGGGAAACTGGAAATTTTGAAACATTAACCACCTCTAAAGGTAAGTATCTATGTCAGCTAGATGAATTACCGCCTGGAAATATGTGTTTCTCTCCATTGATTCCACAATATTCTCAGTCTACATTGCAAAAATTTATCTGGAATGAATAATACGCATTGGATTACATTTTTAATTAAAAAGAAAATGAACATTTTCAAGGAAAAGAAAAGTATCTACATATTATGGTCCCCTGTCTAGTGGGTTAAGCTAAATATTAGATCAATCTAAGACACGTAAAGAAATAACACAAATAAACAGATATAAGGGCAATCAAGGGAAGGGATTGTTCCATTATATTTTGCACTGTGGTGATCTCACATCACTGTGTGCAGATTTGGGTGCCACAATATTAGAAGGATGTAAAACTATTGGCGAGTGTCCAAAGGAAGTTCTACAAAGTTGGTGAAGGCTATGGAGAGCAAGACATGTGAGGAGCAGCTCAAGTCCCTTGTTTTTTCAGCCCAGAGCAGAGAAGCTGAGGGGAGGCATCATGGCATCCTACAGCTCCCCAGAGGGAGAGTGAAGGGATAATGCTGAACTCTGTTCTCTAACTGACAATGACAGGACCCAAGGGAATGGCATGGAGCTGTGTTTGAGGAGGGTCGAGTTGGATGTCAGGAAAAGGTTCTTCATCAGATGGTGGTGGGCATCGAACAGGCTCCCCAGGTCACAGCCCCAAGATACCAGAGTTCAAGGAGCATTTGGACAACTCTCAGATGTAGGGTTTGGATTTTGGGTGGTACTGTGTGGAGCCCAGGGTTGGACTCAATGATTTTTGTGGTCAGGATATTCTGTGATTCTGTAAAAGAGTTACAGTGTCATGAATATTTCAATACCAGCACAAAATAATGTTGTTTCTTCAGAGAGAACATTTAATCCAGACAGCATCACATATAATTGTTTTAAGTTCAGCAAATTACAACTGCAGGATTTCAGATTGAATATGACCATATGAAAGTCTTTCACACAAAATTCAGACAACCTGAAACTCCATTATTTGTTCACATTTCAGAATTTCCTATTCTGGAATGGTGCCGAGATCAAATGTATCAGATGTCCCAAGATTCTTCTCATGATATTTACACCCACAAGGAGCCAGGAAGTCATGAAGTTTGACTCTAAGTTGTTTTCTTCACATGATTTCCTAGAGCCAAAGGATTCTAGTTCTGAAAGTGCCCATGATGTGAAATTAGAGCAATAAGTTGAAGGAAATTACTCCAGCCAGTAGCTTTCATATACCTACACTGGACCAGAAATAAGAAAAGAGATTACTCATCCCTCTTTTCCCAGCAGCACATCTTCTTCCAGGAATGAAATGAAAATGAAAAGAGACCGTGAGCTAGAAACACATGCCAGCACAACTTTCTAGAGATATATAAAGCTTCGTGCCTTTTAAATGTAAAAGATGTCAGCTATGCTATACAGTGTACCTTTCCGGTCAAACTGCCTGAAGCTTCTCTGTGCTTTTCCAGATCCATTAGGCAAGGATCAGATTGATTTTGGTTGCTTCTTTAAATCTCTGACTTTGTAAGTGTACAAGCAGTGTCTTTTTATTGCTGCATTTTGCAGTCTACCGTCCTTTGGCTTTGGGGTGGCTTGACAGAGTGCTCAATATTGTGGTTAAAAGGGGCAATAGTACCATGGATTGCATGGCTGTGCTATCTTCACAAGCTGGCTTTCTTCTAACTGCAAACAAGAGCTTGCTGAGGATTTATTAGCAGACTAAACGAACTCATGCGAGGGCTGGGTCAAGTTACACTATCAGTGTAACTAAGTCACTATCGGTAACTACTAACAGTGGTTTGCAAGACAGTTTGAATAGAACTGATGGATTTATGAAACACTGCAAACATGAAAAACCACGCAATGATGAGAGTATAAGAAGATCCTGGATAAAAACTCAACAAATTCTAAATCCTGCACAGATGTAACAAGCTCAGTTATATCTGATTTTTTTTACATGTACCACTTTAAAATGGATAGTTGTAAACAAAACTAAAACTAAAAGGATTAACATTCCTTAGATATTTCACCTACATCAGCTACTCCAAAGGAGACATTTAGCCCAAACATTCATCATGTCTTCAACCTTCCTCTGTGACATAACACTGAAGGAAAAAAAAGGAGTACTTTAAAAAATGTTGACTCTTACTTGAAAAACCCTTTTTCCACACTACTTTCTCAAACAAGTAAGATTTGGTAATGAATTGTGAAAATAGTGCTCCCACTCATGGTTTGCTGTTAGTGAATGCAATGATGAAGGAACTGCATTTCTGCATTTCTCTTTAAGCATTTCTTCTGAATTAAGGTGTGCACCACAGATCAACTTTCACAGGCGAAAGTATTTGTTTATTTTGTTTCTCAAGGGAGAAGTTCCAAAAATGAAATCCATGATAGGGAATAAGTAGAGGGCTTGCCCTGAAAATACCAAAAACTCTCTCATGCCTCCCCAGCACTAGACTTGACCTGAACACGACAACTTCAGACTATTTTCTGGGAATTGCCCGAAACTGTGACCCATGGCACATTATTTACATAACTTGTATCTGTTCTATGGGATCCAGAAGCATTTCCCATTTTCGGTGGCTGTCATTCCACTTTCCACATATGCTCACATATCCCAGCTCCCATATAGAAATACCACCCTGAAAAAAAGCATGCCAAAATGTATGTCATTAACTTTTACTAGGAAAAGAGGATGAAAGATACTGGTAGATTTGGAAATGGGGACTATTGAACCAAATATTATCTATTGATGAGTCAAGTTATGACAAGACCAGCACAAAAAATTCCATGTATTCATACTATATTTCTGTGAGCTCCAGATATCCATAAATCTAAGAAAATAGTTAAAAATTTGGTCCACTTCTGCAACTGCTAACAGAGAATCCACTCAGAAAGTCTTGTTAATTTTAGAAAGAATCCATGCACATAAAGGAACATAATCAGAAAAAGTTTTTTTTTAAAGTGGAAAAAAAAATAAATTCTTAAATCCTTTTTTTCCTCATTTTCTTTTCCTTGGATAACGAGCATGCTATCCAAACAGCTACTATACAAAACTGCCAATGCTGTGATCCAGACATAATAGTCATGAACAGTTAATCAGAAACCACCCTAAAATAAATCCTGTACAGTATTCTTTATCCTTAAAAATCTGTCTTGGCACAAGTTTTCACCTCTAAAATGACTATGTTCAAACTTTACTAGGAACTTCTCTCATGTAAGGTACTAAAGTGTCTGAAGTAAATAAAACATAAACAGTAACATTCTTCTCTTATTTCTTGGAAAATTGCTGCAATCATCCTTAATGCTCCCAATCTTCCCTAAGTCCTCCAAAAACTACCATGAATATTTTTTGTGTTATGAGTAAGCCCAGGACTAGTTGTCCCTCTGGAGACAAAAGCTCTAATGGGGATGACCCCAGGGAACAAGGAAAAGGATGAAGAAAAATTGGGGTAAGGTGAAGGAGAGTGCCTCTGAATAGAGATGACAAGTGACTTGACAGTCCTTCCACCAACACTGACCATGCCTAACAGCTCTAGGAAGAAATGTTTAGCCATATCTTTCACCCTCTTCAATGCCACATCTCAGAGAAGGGAGAAAGCGGGAGTCTCTGGCTAAAATTCAGCAATGGTGAGATACCTGCAGTCTCAGTCACGACCCTGGCTTCACTGTGCACACCTGGACTTTGATCCATGATCCTTCCAAGTAAGGTAGACATAGAATCCATTACAAGCCAGGTGAAACATGTTGTCTCCAGCCATTTGCTCTGAATTTGACTACATTAATTTGGCTGTAGTTGGCTACTCTGCTAAGTTTATGCTTTTGTACTGTGATGCACCACTGACTTTTTGCCCAAATGACTGTGTTTGTCACCCAAATAGGAGACCTCTCTACATCTCTGCTCTAGGACAATCAGTTGAGTCTAACATGTTTTTGCTGGTAAGAGAGAGTATCTAAGTATCAGCTGTAAATTTATATTGAAATAATAAAGCATTTACTTATAATCACATCTTTCAAATGAAAGACAACATCACCCTTCTCATATAAGACAGGTCCATTTTTTTTTAAATTCTGTTCATTTGAGACTAAAATAACAGCTAAACTTTATGCTGTTAAATTCCCAGAAATCATTTTTATGTGGCCAAAGAAAGGCATGGACACTAGAGATTTTAAGAAAACACTGTGGTGTTTATTTGATTTTCTTGTTACATAAATGGATTTTATGTACTGGAAAAGTAGCTAATCTTGATAGATGTGCATGTGGTAATTCAGCTGATGGTTACTGAAGCCAGACAATGTGAGCTTTCTCTTTCCAAGCCTCTTACTGAGAAACTGTGCTGATACTTAAATAAATAACATGGCAAAAGGAAAAGGGATAGAAATACAAAGCTGATTAAAATCAAATTAAAAATAACTCAACAGCAACTCCTACTGAAATGCACTCCAGAAGCTGCAGTAGCATCACAGAATAACATAAATGAAGAAAAATACATTGATCTCCAGACACAAACATAACAATCATTTATTTCTTCATATACATCATTTAGACATTTTAGAGAACATTTGTTTGGAATGCCTGAATCAGCTCATGAGATCATCGTATGGCAGTCTCCAAAAACTGGTGAAGCTTATCAAAGTAGTTGACAGATTACTCTGCTCATCATATAATAGGCCACTGTGAAATACTACTTTGTCACACTATGCACTAAATTTAATCACCTTGTGTATGTATCGTTTAAATGTCTACACGGATTATACCACCTCTTTCCCCACATTTTTAAACCTGCTTTTTTTTCAAAAAAAAAATTCTATTTTAGCTCATAAGTATGCAGAACATTACAACACCAAGGCAAGACTACCAGTTGTGAAGCCAAATTCCAAGAGTAACTCATCATACAAAGAAGAAAAATTAAGACAAAGATCTTTTATACTTGTAGCTCTATGTTCAGTGCAGAAATAGAAGTGCATATAACCATTGCATTATTTGTCTTTTCTTTGCACTTTATCTGATATCAAGTACACCACTAAAAGCCATAAGACACAGCAATCTAGTCATGTTTCTGATCTTGTCTGTTATCATTAGGACTGGAAAGGATAGCAATTTGCATAAGAAGTAAGAGCAAATGTTGCATGTGGAATGAGTTAAGAGTAGATAACTGGAACTCAATCTGAGCGTGTGTGGCAGATCTGTAACAAAAGCACATATCTAAATGAAAGTTATGTCAGTGCTGGTCTTGTTCATAAAGCCTTTCGTTCAAGAGGAATTGAAAAGAATCTATTCTCTAACGATTTTAAATCTCTTTGTTTTTCAATAATTGTTTTTAAAGATGCATTTGAGAATAAGTTAGAAAACACGTAGCAGTTTTGTAGGGAAAAAAATCAAAATATATTTCTTTATTTGGTTGTATTGATGATACAAAAAAGCCCTTAGTAATAACAGAATTAATAAATCATATAATCATAACATCACTAAGATTGTTAAAGACCTCTAAGATCATCTAGTCCAGCTGTCCACCTATCACCAATATTTCCCACTAAACTTTGTTTCTCAGTACAACATCTAAGCATTTCTTGATCACATCCAGGGACAACAACTCTACCACCTCTCTGGGCAGCCTGTTTCAGAGCCTGACCAGTCTCTCAGAAAAGAATTATTTCCTAACATTCAACCTGAATCTGCCCTGGTATGACTTGTGTCATATATTAAGTCTCCAAGATTTTCCACCAGAATTATGATGAGGTTATACTGCTCCTATCCAAGACTTTGAGGTTAGGGAGTAAAATACTCTGAGGATAACTGGTCTGACTGTTAAAGATAGATGTAAAGAAGGCATTGAGGATTTCAGCCTTTTCCTTATTCTCAGTAGACACATTACCTGTTGCATCCAGTAAAGGATGAAGACTCTCCTTAACCCTCTTCTTACTGTTAATATATTTGTAAAAAAGACTTTTTTTCTCTTTTACCCAATGGCCAAGTTGAGTTCAAGCTGGGTAAGGTCACCAGGTGACCAGACCATAAAGATCTGGTATCTCAAATATTCACTCTATGTTAATGTTACTGTAAGAAGTGATCATACCACTTATGTTTAATAAAAAATTAGGCTTCTAAATTTTAGGTGTATGCTTCACTTAAAGAATCTCATTAGTTCCATGAAAGTCACTGAAGCTCTTCTTTTAAATCTACTTTCTTAAACATCAGCTGACGAGAGATTAAGGTAACTTGCTTGGACAGTGGCAGCTGCCACTCCAATCTAGTGTTGGCTCACTTTCAGTAGTGATGCTATGCCTGTAATGTAGCTTAAGACATTCAACTTATCTCCTATTCCTTTAGGAAAATGCAGCAGAAACTTAACTTCTATTTCAGTGTTACTAGAGATATTAATTTAATTACTGAAATTAGAAACTGAAATAGTCTCTTAGGTTACCCTACCCTGGAGAATGATGCTGCAGCAGCCTAGGCCTCTTCAAGATCATTGCAGATGTCAGCAACAAGTATAACTACAAGCACTTCCCCTGAACACTTGACCATCCCCACCTCTTAATATCTTTTTTGTAAGCAATAAGGATTAAAAGAGCGCAGTAGCTAAACTAAATTTCATACAAACAATGCACTTAATAGTACTGAAGACTAATGATGTACATGGGCACTAGAGTAAATGACAAGTTTTTTGCCTCTTCTGTTGATTATGAAAGACATTAAAAGAAAGGTTGGGAGCAGAAAAAAAAGAAGAGAAGCTTAGATTCAGATCAACCAATTGAAATGTGGAGAAAGTACATAGTAAAACCAATAATTACCAATAATTATGAGAACAGCAATAGCAATGCCAATAACACAAATTGTGTTGGATGGGTTTAACACAGATAAGCTACCTGATTAGAATACAGTTCTTTTGGCACTACTGAGTTCATCCTAAAAAAAGTGTCTATGTTCTGTTTCATATAGTTGCAGGATTGTTTTCATAGGTCATTGTAGCTTTGGATACAGATAGTGCAGTTAATTAGCTAACAAGTGAGAGCTATGAACAGGCCAACAGGAAGACACGAGTTTCTGAATTCTTTGTGGAGAAATATTCAACTCACAGCCACAGTCCTTCTCTATTCCTGCATCTAAGAGTCACAGGAGTCTGGCAGCTGCTTCTGGTCTCCACCTTCACTGAGGAGAACCATAATCCATGTGAAGGAGGCAAATATAGCCTTCAGACTATGAAGTGGGCATGAGACACACTTCTGAGAAAGATGTAGACAGCTGCTACCTGAAAAACTATCATCCATACCACAGCCTTGTGCAAGAACAAGAAATATCTAGGGAAGAAAAGAGTGCTAAGATGAGGTATGAAGCTTTCTGAGAACTACCACTAACTCCTAACTCCAACTACTCTTACTGCTCTGGCTGACTAGGAACAGGATTCACTAAATACTCCCCTGGTAAAGAAACAAAATATGTAGCCTTTGTGACCACAGAGTTGGGTACCACTTTTATGTATGACGTTTTCTTCTTTCTACGTGTCAGTATATCTATGTCAGTCATTATTTACTTTTAATGTATAATAATGCAGAAGAAATTATCTAGAATCCTAGAATCATTAAGGTTGGAAAAGACCACTAAGATTATCTAAGATCACTGACTCATCATCAC